GTGTGTATGATGACTCTCATTTTTCTGTACTGTGTCGTGCGCGTTATGTCCAACAGTTGAAAGTCCTTGAGGCAGTTTGTATACGTATTCATAAGCCTGTTTTGTGTAAGCAGAAAGAGCACGTTGTTGCACTGAAGTTGTATTCGTAGGTTGACACTTCGTTCAGTGCCTTCTCGCCTTTGGTTATGTAATCTTGTTACCTTTTTGCGTTTCCTTTAGTGGTTTTATTGCACTTGTATCTTGTTGTTATTTCTAACACCTTAAGACGGCAACGTCTGTAGGGCCTTCGCTATCAAAATAATAAATTCTACTACTACTACTACTACTACTACCTTTCTATTTACAGTACTGAAAGGGGAAGTTAAGGCAAAAATTAAAATTTCACCAGTTGTAGTCTTCGGGGTGCTGAGTCGAATGGTCGTGGTCCGAGGAAGCTGAGACGCTCCCTTCCTACTTGAATCCCAATCGAACTCGCGCACTTCCACCGAAACTGGGTGACTGCGCCCTGCTAGATGGGGATTTGTATGCAAAATGTCACTAAAAGCGCCATTCCGTTCGTATAAAAGCACGGGTGACCGCGATTGGCCCATATGTTGTAGTCTTTTGGACGCTGAGTCGACTGGTTTTGGTCCGAAAAGGCTGCGATGCAGTGTTCCTCCTTTATTCCCAATCGAACATGGTTGAACAAGCGGTCACGTGCTCCTGCGTACGCCAGTCACCTGGTCACCGTGCCTGCAGGGTACTTACTATAGCCTGTTTGACCTTTTTTGGGTGCAGTCCTGTCACTCGAGTTGAACCTTGGTGTGAAAGTAGTTGTCGCCTAGCGCTAGCGCCTGCTGGCGTGGTGACCAGGCCGTCCTTCCAGATTGACCTTGATGAACTCTTGACCTTTGGGACTTCGTTTTTGGTGATTTTATGCACTGTAATGTATGCCCTCTTGTGTTTCAGTGCTGAGTCCAGAAGCATGTGTCGACAGCAAGAGTGATGATAGCAAATAATTCTGTACTGATGAAGGTCAGTTGTTTGCACCCTAAACTTAAAGGGGAAGTTAATTAAGGCAAAAATTAAAATTTCACCAGTTGAAGTCTTCGGGGTGCTGAGTCGAATGGTCTTGGTCCGAGAAAGCTGAGACCCTCCCTTCCTAGGCTACTTGAATCCCAATCGAACTCGCGCACTTCCACCGAAACTGGGTGACTGCGCCCTACTAGATGGGGATTTGTATGCAAAATGTCACTAAAAGCGCCATTTCGTTCTTATAAAAGCACGGGTGACCGCGATTGGCCCATATGTTGTAGTCTTTTGGACGCTGAGTCGACTGGTTTTGGTCCGAAAAGGCTGCGATGCAGCGTTCCTCCTTTATTCCCAATCGAACATGGTTGAAGAAGCGGTCACGTGCTCCTGGGTGCCCAAATCACCTGGTCACCACGCCAGCAGGCGACAACTTTCACACCAAGGTTCAACTCGAGTTCAACTCCAGTGACAGGACTGCACCCAAAAAAGGTCAAACAGGCTAGTTAGTTGTACCCTGCAGGCACGGTGACCAGGTGACTGGTGTACGCAGGAGCACGTGACCACTTGTTCGACCATGTTCGATTGGGAATAAAGGAGGAACGCTGCATCGCAGCCTTTTCGGACCAAAACCAGTCGACTCAGCGTCCAAAAGACTACAGTAGGTATCGGTTATAGCGTGGGTGTTTGAAAAACGACATTTGATTCTTATTGCCGATATTTCTTACACACGATAAATCACGTGTGACATAATATGCACGTGTGACATAATACATGTTTGGCATGTGGACACGTACAATCATGTAGGTCTACACCAGGGAGTAGTACAATACGGTATTGTACTACTCCCTGGTCTACACAATCATGATACACACGGATCAGACTCGCGGTCGTGCTAGGCGACTGCGGAGGAGAGAAGTCGGAAGAAAGAGTCCGACTGGACAGAAAAAGTGATTCTCCAATGCTCAGTTGGACATAACTCTCTTTTTGTGTTGAATATTATTGTATTGAGCATGCACAGAGCACAGATGTTATTACTACAGGCGATACACTTTGCACTAATCTGGCATATTTTGCTACACAAAATCCATTCTTAGGGCCGATATATTCTACTATGCGATAATACTGCTTGTAAGAATAAATTTACACATAAAATAGGTGTTATGATTATGAAAAAATGAGTGTTCATTCTTGTAGGCAGTATATTCTTGTATACGACCACACTATAACCGATACGCACTGTACAACATATGGGCCAATCGCGGTCATCCGTGCTTTTATAAGAACGAAATGGCGCTTTTAGTGACATTTTGCATACAAATCCCCATCTAGTAGGGCGCGGTCACCCAGTTTCGGTGGAAGTGCGCGAATTCGATTGGGATTCAAGTAGGAAGGGAGCGTCTCAGCTTCCTCGGACCACGACCATTCGACTCAGCACCCCGAAGACTACAACTGGTGAAATTTTAATTTTTGCCTTAACTTCCCCTTTAACTTAGCGTGCCGCAAAACAAAGACAGTCGACCATCTTATGGAACCAGCTCCCCGCTGCGGTCAGGCAAGAAAGAAAACGCAATCGCTTTAAGTCAATGGCTCTTGCCTTTTTGCTTACCAGATAAATAAGCCTTTTTACAAATACTGTACGCACTGCTCTTTGCGTTATTTTCTCCCTATGCAAGTCGCAACTCCTGTTTTGAGTTGTTTTTCTTCTCTCTTTTTCTTTCCCTACTAGTTGCTGTTACACTCACTGATCCGCTAGGCTTATGCACAGATATACAGCATTCCCTCACTAGTGGGACCATTGTTATTAGGCTAGGGCCTGTTTTGGACTTCCCACTCTAAATAAAGAATACAAACAAAAACAAACAGTCGGGGTACGGCGAGGGAGACCAAAAACCTGTTTCATGCTGATATGACTTAAAGTAACAAGGCGAGAGTATAAAGATGGTGGTGTAAGACAGTGAGCATACGAGTTGCTGGCGTATTCAATAGTGGATTGGATGAGGGATAAATAAAATATTCGCTTAGTTGTGTGGTCTACTGTACGGCGGCAGCGGCGGAATGCTCCTATCTTCTTATAAACAGATGTACATACATGGTTGACTTGATCCTCAAAGGTGAGGTGTTGGTCAATAATGAGGCCAAGATAACGCGCTGTGGCAGAAGGTCGAATATCGACACCACCGCATGCAATGGTAAGATCCGGCGGAAGAGGCAGAGCCTTCTTCCGAAGCACCATGAACTTCGTTTTCTGGGCATTCAAGATGAGACCAATGCTTCCAAGGTACGTATTTAGTCTGTTCAACTCACTTGTCAACTTGTGCTGAAGTTCTCCAGTAGACTGACAGTGTATATAAAAAGGCGATATCGTCAGCATACTGTTGGGACTCTGCGTGGCCAAGTACTCCAGGGACATGTCGCACGTACAAAGAGAATAACAGAGGCCCTAGCACCGACCCTTGCGGAACGCCTCGTGTACAATGTGTCTCGTCTCCTCTGTTATTTCCAATTTTCACCTGTTGTCGTCGACCCTGGAGATAGCTGGAGAACCACTGTAGTGCTACTCCGCTTATGCCAATAGCTTGAAGCTCGTTAAGTAGTAGTTCATGGCGTACCCGATCGAAGGCCTTGCTCATGTCCACGAGTACAGCCCCGCAATACTCGCCCTTGTCCACACTCATCATCCAGCGGTTTACTGCGAGAGTTAAACGCATCCTCACAGGAGTGCCCTCTGCGGTAGGCGCTCGTCTGGGAGAATACGAAGCTCAGCGTGATCTTGAAGGAATCTAATCATTTGCCGATGTACTACCTTCTCAAGGATCTTAGAAACAATCGGCAAAAGTGAAACAGGGCGGTAATTCGACGCTTCAGATTTGTCCCCTGACTTGTGGACAGGACGCACTGAGCGTACTTGAAGTACACGTCTGGCACCATTCCAGTACTCAAGGACTCGTTCTGCGCTATGGGACCTGCAGCGGCAGGCTCACAGAGGCGTAGGAGCAGAGGAGGAATGTCATCCGATCCAGCTGCCGGCACAGTTCAAATGCTTCAACAGGTCGCTTATCTCCAGAGCTGAAACGGCACGAAATTCTTTAAAAGATGGGGCGTCTGCGTCAGCTGTTGTCGAGATGTCAGGTATTAGGTTGCTCAAGGGTGGGCAAGGATTAGGATCAGTGACAATAGAAGCAAATGTGGCACTCAGATCGCCTAACGTAGCTTTTGGTTGTTCACGGACAAAGTTGCGCCCTGTGAGCGAGTTTAGAAGCGCCCACTGTTGCCTTGGCTTATTCTTCACATCTCGAAACTCCCTGTTGTAATACTCTCGTCTCAGCTTTCTATTTAACAGTGTGCCTTCCCTCCTTGTTGCCCTGTACTGTTATTTCACAGATTCATTTCCGGGATGTTTCAAAACCTTCGCGTGGAGGTGCTTGCGCCTTTCTAACAACCTTCGGAGTTGATCGCTTACCCAAGGCTGTGGTTTAGGCTTAGCAATAGCACTGATGGTAATTTGTTTCACAGGCAGTAGAATTTATTATTTTGATAGTCACACGAAAACGTTCTGGAATTGTTTCATTTTAATTGTTTATACATGGTTATGAGTGCACAATTGATATTTTTCATTGCTATTCCACGTAGGCCATATAGGTTATCTGCTTATTTTATTAGTAATATAGTAGTACCGTCTATTTTGCCCATAAAAGAGGCTTGGTCGGATAATCGAATCATATGTGATCGATGAAGACGTATATTCGGGGGTGAACGTTCACGCGTACCGCGGGCCGCGGGTACAGTAATGTACAGTACAAGTATGTGTCCGATCGAAACGAGGTGGTGGCCTTTAAAAAAAAAAAAAAAAAAAAAAAAAAAGTGGTGGCCAGCACAAAAAAGCTCCACCGTTGTCAGTGGTTGTGGTTCCGCATGCATGCGATGATGTCGTTGAAGTACATGACTGTACTGAAAAAGAGTTGTACATGTATCTGTGTATTGAGGTGGTCGAAGGACGGAACTTTCAGTTCAGAAGTGTTGAGCAAGTAGTTCTCATTGTGGCAGTCACCTCTGGGACTTTGGAGATACATGCTGGTGGACTGGCCTGGACCGCAAAACGTTGCTATCCTCGCAGTTCCGGAAGGGGACATGGCTTGTTTCTGAAAGTGTTGTCCGCATCAGTAGAATGTAAATGGCGTCCTCCGGGCCGAGGGAGTTGAAATGCTCTCGCATGGTGAAGCGGTCACAGGGCAAGAAGCGTCTAGGTGTTGTGAATTATAGAGAACGCGTTTTCGTGCTGACGGAAAGAGCTCTCAGCTACTACGATGGAAATCTTGTGGTTGGTTCCTGGTTGTGCGATTTCATTTTGCACTGCATCCATTAGGAGTAATACATGGAACATTTGTTTCGCCTAAATGTCTCTCTGTAGAAAAGAGGTAGTGAGAAGGGATGTATTGAATTATCCTGCATCAAAGCTGTGGAAGATGTCGACGTCTCTGCATTTGAAAGGCCGAATGCCTTCCAGGTACGTATAGCTATTATTCAGCTTCTCAAATGTCCCTTGGTCATTTTTATGCAATATTGAGAATTCAGATTTCAGTTGTTGCTGCCAACACCACATTTCGATGTTCAGTGAGGCATCACCATCCTGCTGGGCTTATAAGATCTGTCTAGTGCCAATTTCGCTTACCAGGCTGCTTCTTTACGGAGTGCATGCATATTAGGAGTTCATTTGTGCTGGCATGAAGTCAATTGTTAACAGCAGGATTGCTAGCACTCCTGGCACTAGTCATATACATACATGTAGCCAATTTCGCTTACCAGGCTGCTTCTTTACGGAGTGCATGCATATTAGGAGTTCATTTGTGCTGGCATGAAGTCAATTGTTAACAGCAGGATTGCTAGCACTCCTGGCACTAGTCATATACATACATGTAGCATAGTCAGCTTCAGTCGTGGACTGTCCCAATTTGCTGATACCGTACATGTAAAACAATTATACACAGAAGTTGGCAACTCTGGTCTTGCCCCACAACTCTGATTTCCACTCGTGCCTGTAGCAGCATGCCAGTTCTGCTTGCATATTGACTCCCACCGTATACTGTGGTTTGGGGATAGAGCTCGAACGAATTGCGTATGTTTGTTCTTTCTCTACCCACTATCAGGTCATGCACGACAACTTGACCTTGTATATTGTCGCCTCGACCCCACCTGAGCATGATGAGTGGGTATATGAACTTCAACAGTGTGAGTGTATTCTCGTTGTTCTTGCCAGCTCGGGATCAGTCATCTAGAATGTTCCAGTTGTGTGCTGCTTCAATGCAGTTCAGAACCAGTCCAGATGAAAAGCTCCTGATGATAAACCACAATACTGCATGTCAGGTCAACAGCTTTCTTACAATCAACTGTGATTGTGCCCAAGGCATATCGGATAGCACAGAAGTGATGAATCCTCTCGCCTTTGTGCTGTTGTTGCCTTTGTTCCTTTTAACGCCAACGAGAGTGTGAAACTGCAGTCTGTGGAGTCTACAATAGCGGATTCATTCACATCACATGATAAACCTGTACACATTGTTGACATCCCATGCATGACAGCTACAAGGTTGTGTTGCATGCCACGCGAGGGTTGCCTGTATGTTACTGCAGCCAATCACTGTCCTCCACAAGCAGGCAGGCATGTCCGTGCACTGCCTGCTTAATCCGATCCCTCCTTGCATGCCCATTCGTCAGTTGAATTCTCCAGTTCTCCCGCACAGGTAGATTTTTGGTGTGCGTGATCAATCATAGATGGACAGAGTCACCATCGGTCACACTACTTGCCCGAAAACAGCAACAAGCTCAAAAATGGAGGCTCTGCTGACAACGGGCATGCACAGAATAATCTAATTCAACCGTCAATACACAACATTTCTGCCTGTCCACACCATCGGACTTGTCTGCTCCCCCGGAGTGCAGTGAGGTCGTTGGCATTGATCATGTGGGTTGTTCTTCTATAGTGCAGCCCCACGGCTAGCATTCGAAGAGCGAAGAAATCTAACCAGCTCTCAAAGCCCAAACATGCACTTTCAATGAAATGATTTATTTCACCTCGTTCTCTTTTATTAACTGAGAAGTTGCGACTTCGGCTGTATTAGTGATGACGTTGGTTGCTCCAACGAGGAACACACGCTTCCTGCCGAACTTGACACTTGACTGACTCACGCCTGCCATTGATGAGGGGTGAATTCTCCGAAACACTGTGTATTGAGCAGAGAGTGGTGCTTTCTTGCAGGTTTGCTGAGTGGAAGGTGTGACGTGCTCCTTGTGTGCTCCGGGTGGCAGTCGTGAGTCAGTCAAGTGTCCAGTTCGGCAGGAAGCGTGTGTTCCTCGTTGGAGCAACCAACTTCGTCCTCTTTTGTATACGGAAAATACCATCGATACATGACCTCACGGCTGACACCATTCGGTCATGTATCAATGGGTGTGATCCTTGCACTCACTCATTCGCGGGCAGTGGATCATTGTACTCAACCCTGTTTTGGGTACTAGTACTGTATAGCACTCTAGTGGTCACTTTGTACCATTTGCCAGCATAGCCTATTAAAAGACGTCGTGTGATGTGAAACTCTGCCACCGCAGCACTGGGTAGAGAAAGTACAGGTGGTTGCACACTCTTGGGGGTGTAATACTCTTGTGTAGATAATGCTTGCACGCATACAGATTCGGGGGGGGGGGGCTCTGGGTAATCATGCTTGTTTTGAAGTGCTCTGTGTACGATGTGCTGGTTTCTCCTGTTGTTGGACTTCTCGCAGTGATCAAAAACAATGTGGATCTACTGGAGTACTACCATCCTGGTGTATTCAGCAGTAGTAAGTGGTCATGCTGTCATCACAACAGCAAGCATTCACTCGGCTGCAAGGCCACCTTCATTACGCGCATGAAGCACTCACACGGCAAGGGCAGGAGCAATACTGAGCAGCCGGGCAGTACGAAGGCAGTGTTACCTCGACTAGCTGTGAGTTCCTTCTTCTGTCCTAAGCTCATGTCTTCGTCTGTCCTATGCTCATGTCTTCTTGTTGTAGTTTTTCTTTACAATAATTCTCCAGGTTGAGCAGCTACGGCAATGTTGATTATTTTCCTGTTGCTAACCGACCCGACACTAGAATAACTATTAGACCGTTAATACAATTCTGTACAAGTACTCCTCCAGGTTTTGGCTTTGCAATAAATATGCTAAGAGACTGGACCACACTTGTTATTATTATTCCTGTCTGTGTTCTAGATGGGTCGCACATTTGACGTTATTGCCATTTATGACTTCACGTCTCCCCAACCTGGCGATCTGGGTATGGCGAAGGTAAGCAGCGATGTGACTCCAATCTGGCATTCAGAGTGTGTTGTTATGACTTCATTCGGGTCTGTTGCATTTGTTGTTCGAGTCGAATTATGATGGCGTGGGTGTGTGTGTGTGTGGGAGGGGGGGGGGGGGGGCTGTGCTTGCTTTGTTCGCTCGAGCATATGGACCTCTCCCATTTCCTTTGCATGCTGAGTGCGTGTGCACGCGGGCGAGTGCTGGGTTTGAAAGCACTGCCCGCTCCCACAGAATTCAAATTGCCATTTTCATTGTGCCGGTATGGTGCATTTTGTGACTTGTCATCAGCAGTTTTGTGTTTTGGGCCTGGCATAATTTTTCCACGGGTCAAATCTACTTCAAGAAAGTGTGTACTATGCTATGTGCACATGCTGGGAAATGAGAAATGTCCAAGCGCACCCCAAATTTGGGAGAGTTGCAGACGTTCAAATGCCTGCATAGTCCATGACATACATGTATAATTATATAATTATGTGCAGTGCATTTTTTCATTTTAACCAAGTGTATTTGAGACTGGGCTAAATCCTCTGAAAAATAGCCTGAAAAATAGAACCAGCCAAAAACTTCTCCATTTACAGTACGAGAACTGCAGAATGCAGAAATGTTTGTTTCAAGATAGATGTGCTAACCAGCTTCGAAAAAAGTCTGTGTTACCATGGACACAGACAAGTTGATATCCAGCACCGGTGATTGTGTATTTTTGAACTTGTCTTGCTCCCACTGCTGTGTAGGGTCAGCGTCTCACTGTGTTTGACGACTCACGGGAACACTGGTGGCATGCTGAGAATTCCCAGGGAGAGACCGGCTTCATTCCCAGTAACTATGTGCGCCGCATTGGTGTGGAGAGCGAGGAATGGTTCATGAGCAACATTTCACGCCAACGTGCTGAAGGCATCCTGAAGGCAGAGAACAAGGAGGGCTGCTTTTTAGTTCGCAATTCTTCGAAGGAGGGCATGTACACTCTGTCTGTTTCTCACGCCGACATTGTCCGGCATTACCACATCCGACAGGACGAATCAAGACAGTACTATATCTCAGAGCGTCACCGATTCGAGACGATCTCCGAGCTCATCGAGTATCATCAGCTGAACGGTGGTGGATTGGTTACACGTCTGCGTCGCCCGCCCATGTTCGACAAACCCCAGGAACCTCCAACTCGTGACAAGTGGGAAATTGACCCAACCCAACTGACTCTCGGTCGGGAGCTGGGCAGTGGGCAGTTTGGTCGGGTCGTACAAGGAACGTACAAAGGCAGCATTCATGTAGCCATCAAGATGTTGAAGGAGGGCTCTATGGAAGAAGATGATTTCATTGAGGAAGCAAAGGTTATGAAGTGAGTAGCTATCAAATTACCATTCCTTGTACGCGTTTCTCCGTTGTGTGCGTAGCTAGCATTGCATTGCTTTTGATCTTGGCTGTTAGGTGTGCATAACTTACCTGCATGGTTGTACATTAATGAGTAACGTAATCTTCCTTCGATTCTGTTGTTGCTGCTGCTGTTGTTGCTGTTGTTGCTGTTATTGTTGTTGCTGCTGCTGCTGCTGCTGCTGCTGCTGCTGTGGTTGTTCTACTCAGAAACTTTCAACATGCCAACTTGATCCAACTGTATGGTGTTGTGACAGCGCAGCGTCCAATCTACATTGTTACTGAGCTGATGGCTAATGGTGAGTGTGTCTACCCGAAATAAGTAGCCCTGCATTTTAGAACATAGCATACACATGTACATGTATTTGTGCATCCTGCGACATGCACGAGAAATGAATGACTGCTCCACTACACACAAGTCACGTACGAAAGTTGGTTCGAGTACAACCACTGAATTCGAAAATATGTACTTGCTTATTTATATAGGGTCCTTGCTGAGATACAACCTGATACACCTGGCTGCATTCTGGGTGCAGCATGCAGGTATACAGCTCACACTCATGTGCGCATATTAGGGACCATTAGCAAGCCGTGAAACGGCAACGCGAAGGGGGGAGCTGGGTTAGAGTCCCGTCCTGACCACGCGAAACATACTCGTGTTTGACGAGTTCGGAGGGGTCTACTCGTTATGACCCAAACGAGTGGGTTTTAGTCAGGTACGTGAGATTTAAACCACGATTCGGAAAATAGCACCGTAAATCGCGCCTCTTTTTGTCTTGAGAAGAAGTAGCCAAGAGTGCAATGTGGTGGTGTGGTGTATTGGATTCTTTTTGTCTTTGCGATTTTTCTCAAATTTCGAAAATGTCTCACCCATTCTTGTTGGAATAAAATATGATGGCGAAACGTACCAAACAACCAGTAGGACCATTGATTTTTGGCATAACTATTACCAGCATGACACAGAACAGGATCGAGGGTAACCACATTGCCAAAAATTAGGCTTTTTCAAGATAACGTTCAGCTTGCTCGCTCGTTTTTGTCTACTGCTCTGAAACGTACAATTTTTGTCAAATATTCTCAACTGGCTGGCTTCAAGTCTTTTGGAGAAAGTTTTGGCATGGACCCCGTGAACACAACCCTTTGCTGCACCCATCCATCGGCGATGTGGCTGTCATGGGGTTTCTTTCACTTTCATTCGGGTAAAAGTCAGTCCAGCGGAGAATATTCTCAAGGGAAAGTTCGCAAAAATCATTGCCGGTAAAAAATATCAGAAAACTGTTTGAAACTGGAAAGCAGCCGAATCGCGTAGACGGGTTGTGAACGCGAGAAGCTAATCCTAAATCACGCCGTGTTTTACGTGCGTTCCGATGAACTCGTTGACGTTTCACGGCTTGCTAATGGTCCCTACTGGCTGCGGGTCGTACTTACAGCTCTGTGCTACATATTATAATACTATTGTTATTATTGATGTACTCACTCCATCTTTTGTTGTTTCTGTCACTCCTTTTCCACAATGTTGGTGCTCCCCTAAGCAACGGATCTGCTCCATCTCTTTTGGTTGGCTGACAATGTGTGTGTGTGTGTGTGTGTGTGTGTGTGTGTGTGTGTGTGGCTGTGGCTGTGACTGTGACTGTGGCCTGTGTGCTAATGTGACATGCAGGCTGTTTGCTAAATTTCTTGAGGAAGAGTCGCCAACTTCAGGAAAGAGCAGACATTCTCATAGATATGACAATTCAAGTGTGCAACGGAATGAAGTTTCTTGAGGGCCACAAATTTATTCACCGTGATTTGGTATGTAGCAGTGGCATGTGTTTCTTTAAGCTTTTTCTTCAGCCAGTGTATGTTGTGGACAACGTTCCACTCTGTCTTGCTCTCATTGATATCAAACGTATGGCTGATTTCCTGCAAGCTGGTTGGGCTAAAGCCTGGCTTGCCCAGAGAGCCACCATGGCCCTGATCTTACATGAGCTGCATCTGTGAAGTGCATGTTTGAAGAAATTCTCAATTACAGTCGACCTACCCTTATAACGATATTTTTCTGCCAAACCAAATCACTCCATTGACTTGTGTATACAACACCTTACCTCTATAACAATATTGCTATAACGATATTACCCCTATAACGATATAAAGTTGGCTGACCAATCGATATTTTCCATTTTTATAACAATATCCAGCAGGGAATATGTAGAGCCCACTATCCAGGCAGGGCAACAAGCTTCACTTGACAAGTCGCTGGGACATGACGAAGTGCAAGGGGGGCACCAATGGGCACCTTGCTGTGTACATAATGTGCATGTACATCAGTTTTTATGCTACGAAGAGTGTAAAAAATGAACCAAATCCATGCATTATGACGTATATGTGTGAAATGAACCAGTTACCCCTACAACAATAGTTCTTGGTCTGACGCAAATATCGTTATAAGGGTAGGTCGACTGTACTGGCGATAGCACTGTTCTTTATCAGTGCAGTACAACCTCGGTATCTTGGCCCGGTTGCTACCAGCCCAGCATCTCACTGTTCTGTTTCGTTTGTGTTCAGGCTGCGAGAAATTGTTTGGTCGGTGACAAATTCCAAGTCAAGGTTGGCGATTTTGGCTTGGCCAGGTGAGGAGCGTCAGTGTGTGAATGACATGATTTGAGCTGTTTGCTGGGTCTAAGTACGTGTAAGAGGAGCGCGCCTGTTCAAGTACTCTGTTCACTGTATTGTGGTGGTGTGTGCACGGTGCATGTGCAGTTTCTGGGTGGACTGTTCTGCCTACCTATCTCCAACCATATCTTGTGCTACTTAGCATGCATGCAGTACCATTACCAGTACCTGTTATTTTCATCCGCATATTGCCAAACGATGTGTGCTATGATTATGTGGATAATCACTGTCACTGTTCTCTTCTTCCTGTAGATATGTGCTTGATGATGAGTACACTGCCTCCGAAGGCACAAAATTCCCAATCAAGTGGGCTGCACCTGAAGTAATATCCTTCGCTAAGTTCAGCAGCAAGTCAGATGTCTGGTCATTCGGTAAGAGAGGGCTGGCTGCTTGTGTTGACAGTCGGTTGATACGCTCTGCATACCGCCAAGAGTACATAACCTGGGGGTTATGCACTCTTGATACCGCTAATATCCTCGCATATAATTATGGCGTGCCTTTTTCAGGCTTATCACCCTCGTGAGTTGTGAACTAATGGGGAATGTAGCAGGGAAATAGTCCTCCAACACAGCACGCACGCACAGTTATACCAGCCAATGTGGCCTTTGCTTGGAGAAATGGGTACAAAACCATGTGGCAAAGATAAGCGCACATTGCGGCAGCGCAGAGAAAGTACCCAATCCATTAGAGAAGTTCCGCATGACGTAATTACGTTAGTAAAAAACGTAGTCGATTTACGGAAAGTCTTACGTAAACTGCATGTGCATCTGTGTTCCGCCATACGGAGTTTTCAAATCACGTAGCTGCCCTTGGCAGCTCCGAACGCGGCAGTGTACGACCAGATCGACCTGGGGAGAGAGTCATAAATTTGCACCCCAATCCACTTACGAAGCACCTACGTTATCGGAGCCCTATCTAAATACTTTACGTAGACAACTTTCCGTAAGTGGAGTGCAAACTCGTGGATTCACGTTTTTTCCCGCCCACTAACGTTAAGTTGCTCAACGTTACGTAGTGCGGAACCTCTCTATTGTCTGTGTGCGTGTGTTCGCCTTCAGAGTATGGCTTCTGCTTGTTACTTGTTTCTCTACAGGTATCTTGGTTTGGGAGCTGTTTACCGGTGGAAAGACACCCTATCCATCATTCAACAATTCCCAGGTGCTTGATCAAGTGTTGGATGGCTATCGTCTGGAGCGACCTCCTAGCTGCCCGGCAGAGCTCTATAGCATTGTTCAACAGACATGGCTCGAGGTGAGAAACTATACCTAGATTCATGCATGCATGTGCGTGTGTGTGTGCGTGTGTGTGTGTACTGACTGTTACTGTTCCACAGTGTACCGTGTAGGTGAAGCTGGTGTTTAACTGTGAGTGTGTGCTGTGCAGTTTACACTGCCAGCATGAGAATTAATCTACTTCCATCCAGCACCACATCTGTCCCCACAGGATAACGCGATTCCGCGGATGCGCAATTTTCTGCGTTATTTCCTGTCTTCCGCGTTTTCGAGAGATTGCATAAAACCCGCGTTATTCATAGGAATGTACAAGAAAATAGCGCATGACGTTGAAAATGTACTACAAAGTCGTACCGGTGCATGAGTTTGTACGACAACGTTGTATACTTGCATGAAACTGCATGCTAAAGTTGTACAAATGACAGAGAACTCGTGCATAATGACTGCATTATACCGCATATTTGCCACATAACGGCCTGTTTTCGCCCGCATAATTATGCGCATAATTCTAGAATTTCGTCCGCGTTATTCTGTGGGGACAGCCACATGCAGCCGAACTCTGATCACCGCCACACAGAAGACCCAAATTCTTTGCAGCATGCATATTAAACCGTCATAATGCACAATACCCACCATAACATCCCCTCTACATGCCTATGCTAATAAATGTTCACCACAGCTGGTTTGCACTGTATAGGCCTTCCTTTGGCATGATTTTCTAGGTTTTTTCTTCAAACCTTTCAGAAGAAATAAAATAAAATTTGTCTGATGATTTCTTCTGATGTTGCCTGCAGATGCATGTACATGCATGTAGTACCTACTCAGCTTGGGCACATGTACAAGTAACATTGAAACAACTTAGGCGTAAACATAAGTTTTCAACGTGCAGAAAAATACCATAGAGAAACACTGTGATCGAAAATTAGGGTGGGGACTGTTCTCATTACGATTTCTGGCCGTATGCCGCATGCAGGAGGCTGAAGACCGGCCATCCTTCGAGATAATGTACAAGCAGCTGGTGCAAATTGGTGATGACTACTCTGACCCAGACGCAACAGATAGACCGATGCTGTAAATCGGACAGGAATCGCTGACGAATTCCAATCACCACCACGTCTTGATGAAAGCGCCTGTATTCACCAGCGACTGCTTGATCCGGAAATGAACTTGCCACGGAGTGCTGGAGCAACCTGGAGAATCACATGAAAGTCGAAAACTCTCTAGTGATTGTTTCAAACATCTAGTTTATTAGAGCTAAGCTTGCCTTTTCGTTCTCTGCGCTTTATGTTCGCTTGACTTTCGTTCCCTTCGCTGTATGTTCGGTTCCTTTCCCTTTTCTCTTTCCCCGCCTTGGTCTAATTTATAACGATGATATTCGTAATGCATCATTGCATCAAGCTGTCTATTCTTTAGTATCGGCCATTTTAACTGCTAGAGCTACATGTCATGTCATCTGTTTGCTTTCTTGTCATTGCCGTTGTCCGTAGCAGAATATTATTAATATATATCCAATGTACTCCATCAAACCTCACCTGTGACCACTATTTCACGCCTATGTGATAACAACCATGACCACCGAACTACCGGTAATTGCACATATCTTTCTCATAGGTTCACCGCCAGAGCTGGAGATATACGGTTCCCTCTACAGGAATAGTGTGGACAGTATAGTGTACAGTATACATATAGAAACACATTACGCCCTGCAACTTCTTATTCAAACCTGCTTGTTGTTTCGTCAAGAGACTGGCAAGATCATCTGTGACTAGCCAGGGGATACAGGGTTTAGTGTGCAAGGACAGCAGTAGGATGGGTGAACCAGACACAGACACCAGAACTACCGGTATTTGGAATCGTGTACAGGCGATCACCAGATCACAGTGGTACGAGTGTAGAAGAGTGCAAGCAAGTCTCTTCACCCAGACACCGATGTTGTGCTTACATTTGAGGTTTCAGCGCTCGTTGAGTTTCTACCTGCTGCCATGAACACAGATTTACTATAGCGTTTACATCATGCATTGCGCTTGAATTGACCGGGTTGAAATTGAGAAAATGTACTACCGTGCTCATGTGTGTATTTCACCTCAGTCTAGCACAGCACTGCATACGCAAGTTTCCTGCAAGAGTAGTCATAGGACCATACAGAACTCTAGAAATGCACTATTGTCAGCATACCAGTAGTCTCCCCGGGTCAACCTTCTTCATGAAAGGGACGGTTAAAAAAAGTGTCTTGTTGTCCCTGAAACGAACATTCGTATTACGTATTGGGACCCCCACCCCTCAGAAATGAATACAGCTTGGTTTGCTGGACGACAAAAATCGCATGCATGTGTATGAAGATGTACAGTGTCGGTTGACTTCAATCTTGGTTCACCCCACCCTCCCGTGAACGATGTTTGTTTCAGGGACAAAAAAAAAAAACTTTTGCGGGACGACCCCTGAAGGCCTAGGGCATGTTCGATTGGTAGGATCGGGATCCCGATCCACCGGATCCACTGGATTCGCACCCTTTCGATTGGTCAAATCCGGATCCTTCGGATTTGGATCCGGTCAACACACCTCGGGGAGCAGGGTTGACCGGATACAACGGATCCAAATGTGACCTTTGTGCGTATATGGCGGGTAAAAATCATTTTTGTACACATTGTGGTACGCACACGTGGATGGAGATCAGGGAGTCATAAAATACCATACTAGGGACCTTTCGCATTTGCTACGAAACGAATGCGAAACGAAAGTTTGATTCGGCTCGTAATCGTTTCGTTGAAAACAGATTTCAGGTTTCGCAAGTCGTCATGCAAATGTGCATATGGCAACTACGAATACGGCCGCGGGCGCCGGTAGCTTGGCGTACGGGTTTTTACACGCACACGTGCATGGATCATGGAATCAAGGGAAAAATGTGTACCTATCCAAATAAATGTGTACCTGACGGATTCGGAGCGTGCCACGAATGAAGAGGCTTCCATTCGTGAAAACGAGTTCTCCGCAGGGACTCTGACGAATCCTCGAACCCAGGTGACGAATCAGCATTCGTTTCGTATCCGTACGCGGGGTGCGAAAGGTCCCTAATATATGGTATTTTACGACTCCCTGATGGAGATCAGGGAGTCGTACTCAAACTAGGGAGGTGACACGGCACAGAAATCCGTGTCACAGGGGTTGACTCGCACCCGTGACCCCTCGTTGTTATTTTTGGAATAGTTCAGTCCAGTCTAGTCCGAAAGGTCATACTCGGATCGACTCGCCTTCTGTACTTCACCTCCAAGCGTGCCGCATGGGTGTCTAGTTTTTGAAATTATTGAGGCAGCATATTTCGTTTACAACCCATCACTCGCCAGTATTCTTTGAAAGACTACCAGCAATTTGTTCACCTCCTGCCATGTCCGAACTACTTGATAGCAGTGATGGCAACATCAGCAGTTATGAGACGGCGTGTAGTGTTACGGTAACTGTTCAGAACTGTTCAGAGTTGTATCCTAGGTTAATCCGAATACTAAAAATTGACCCAAATTGCACATAGCACGAAGCTGGTTTTTGAAAATTGTAAGTCGTGTATCCGCCCCATTTCTTCTTTATGACTTGCACAATACACCAGTCTTCCTAAACAACACATTTCTAGCAGGGGTTAAGTACCATATAAGAGAAGTACAGCCAGTGATATTGTCATGTTGAAATACTACAATTTTGACACAAATTACATATAACACGCAGCCAGGTTTTGAAAAATGTAAGTCGTGTATCTGCCCCATTTCTTCTTTATGACTTGCACAATGGTCCAGTCTGCCTAAATAACACATTTATAGCAGGGGTTATGTACCATATTAGAGAAGTACAGCCAATGATATTGTCATGTCTAAATACTACAATTTTGACACAAATTAGACATAACACGGAGCTGGTTTTTGAAAATTGTAAGTCGTGTATCTGCCCCATTTCTTCTTTAAGACTTGCACAATACACCAGTCTTCCTAAACAACACATTTATAGCAGGGGTTAAGTACCATACAAGAGAGCTACATTGTACATCTAGTCATACTGTCATAAACAGCCAGCATTTTTCCTGCAGCAGTCACACCACCATCATCATTATTTCCAGGGAAATCCTCTTACATTGTCAGCTCCTACGTCGTTAGATACAATGTAGGGGGCTGTAGGACCGGCTCGTCAAAAATAGAGAACCTGAACAAGCGTGCTCGGGACGTCTCAGCAATCGTAGTATGCCTGAGCACTCCAATAAAAACTTGATCAATGGCAAAATCGTTCCCCACAGAAAAATCATACTTTGCGGGTCTTGCGTTGCACGCTTGGAGGTGAAGTACAGAAGGCGAGTCGATCCGAGTATGACCTTTCGGACTGGACTGGACTGAACTATTCCAAAAATAACAACGAGGGGTCACGGGTGCGAGTCCACCCCTGTGACACGGATTTCTGTGCCGTGTCACCTCCCTAGTTTGAGTACGACTCCCTGATGGAGATAGAGCTTGTTGACTTTTCGTACGACGTACGCGATGAGTACAACGTTCACCCTTTTGGGTGCCTTGTGAGTGCCATTTTCAACATGGCAACAGTCAAGGTCCAAAGTAAAGTGTTCAGTTGAATCTGAAGGATCCGAGGTATCTGAGATCTGGATCCCGATCCTTACCAATCGAACATGCCCCTAAACACCTACCATTTTTCGATCATACAGACTTTCAAGCCGGGTTGAAATTTCTCATGTAAACACAGTCCAAGTCGCATGCATTGGCTTTGTCTGCGCTGGAAATGGTTGCCGAGACAGAACCGGGTGCGTTTGTGTATACACACGAAGTTGGGCTCGTATCAGACCGGAGTGAAACTCGATTTGTCAACCCCTTGGTCCGGTGAACGAAGTTGTTGTAGCCAAAGTAATAAAAAGTGTCGGATAAGACCATCGGTCCGGGATTACACAAGATAGACCAAACTTTTAGAGTTGCATATAACTACAGTGGTGGCAGCTGAAATCCGACCCCAGCTGGGTGCGCTCACATTGCAAAGACCCAGCATGCGCTTGTACACTACCAACATGGAAACTGTCACAGTTACTGCTAGAATTGGTGCTGCACTGGAGCACGAAAGTCAGGGGTCGGATTTCAGTTGCCACCACTGTACATCCAACAACAATACCGGCATTGGCAATACCGGCATTGGCAAAGCAGCAAACGGAAATGCATTATGAAAGGACATCCATCAAATTCAATGCTTGCTTCCCAAGTGCTCAACCCACACACTTTATTAGCACAAGCAGCAGCAGGACATACCTCTCCGGACTGATCATCCTCGTCATCATCATCTTCACCGAACGCACTACTCTTTGCCACCATCTTGTTACGGCTGACCATGCCAGCGAGAGGCTTCTTGGCAAAGCCAAGTGCCGGCTTTGCGGGACCACCGGGTGCCGAGGTGTTCTTCTTGTTGAAGCCAAACGACAAAGAAGGAGCGGCAGGAGGAGGAGGTGCCTGTGGTAGCGGAGCTGGGGGATCATCAGGAGGCAGTGGAGGTGCTGGTGCTGATGGTAGTGGAGGAGGTGGAGGAAGATACGCCGAAGATGGCGGTGGTGGAGGTGGTTGAGATTGTTTGTGCCCCAGTGGAAAGGTTCTTGACGATGGTGGCGGTAATGGGGGTTTAGCAGGCTCTCTTGCACCAGCTGGAAGGGGTGGTAGTGGGTTGCTGGCAGGTGATGAAGAACTGAATGACATAAGCTTGAAGTTCAACTTTCCCAGCACATTGGATGACGGCTGAGATGCGTACGGCGAGGCTGTTGTCTTTGGCTTATCATCTGTTGCATTGCCCCACCCTCCTGTGGATGTCGGTGACTGTCGCCCATTGTGCTCAAGTGACTTGAATCCAGATGATGGCGAAACAGAACTAGGAGATGCCTGCAAGCTACCTCGCAGCCCGCTGTCACTGTCGGTATCATCGGCATTGGCACGAGCATCAGTACTAACAGGTATTGCTGTAGTGAAGCCACCCAACGATTTTCTGCACAAGACCAAATAATACACACACCACAATTACACAAACCATCATTGGCTTGGTGGATATCCTGTGAGGCCACTACTGCATTCATACAGTGATTCATACAGTGATCCATACAGTGAATACTACATACAGGGATTAAAACAGTAAAAAAATACAGTGATTATGCACTAAAACTTCAGTACAAAGTACCCTGGAAACAACATACTGCATGTTTGCAATACATAGCACTGTTTTTCGGGGCCCTGCATTGAGCTCTATCAGCCATTTTATCTTGGACATACAGCAACTGGGCTATACAGTACAGAATGCTGATGTTGATGTCCCCTGCCTTGGAAACACGTTATACTGAACTGTCTCACTGTCTCATTTTTCTGATTTCTTCTCCAGTGTATGATTTACTGCTTAATCCATTGTGTTAATTTTTGCCCGTAAAAGAGGCTTGAAAAAAAACAACTGTCTCACTGTACAAATACCGTAAAGTACCGCCAGAGCGCCCCGTCTTGCGAGAGCGCCCCACCTTGATTTTACAGCCAGAGAAAGGAAAATCGTATGGCAGAGTGCAACGAAGTTTGTACGATGTAAGAAGCTTAGTGTACTAAGGTCACACTTGGCAGGTTTTTGTGTGGAGCTTGTGTCCGCTCGAAGGTACGGATTGACTGCAAAACGTGCTATATGTGTACAAGGTTCATGTCGTATGACCTACAGACAGCAGACCACCTCCACAATACGACCACGAAAGGATGAGATGGTGGGGCGCTCTGGCGGTACTTTACGGTAGTATGAAGATGTAGAATGAAGCCAGTACCCAGGCACCACCAGTTACAGCACACAGGCACACAATGCCAGTGTACTTCTCACATCATGCGACGCTAGTTCAAGGCAGAACAGTTGCACATACCCAGCAAGGCGATTGATGCTCATCTGAGCTCTCTCCAGCGCAATCATCTTCTGCTGCTCTAGACTGTCACGATCCTTCTCCTTGTCACCTTTCTTCTTCTTGCGATGAACTGTTGAGCAAAAGCACAAGCACCATACAACGTAGGAAGGAACAGAAGGCACTACAACAGTTGACAACCATACCATCATTTTTCTTTAGAAGAATGACATGTCCAGAAGCTCAAGTACAGAGAGTAACTGCAACAGTGCAGCAACAGAAATTCTTACTGTCAACATTACCATACCTGACATCTTTCGATTGAAGTCCCGCTCTCGCAGTTCCTTCAGACGCTGTACAGAAATATGCCAACAAGCCCAAGTACTAGGGGAGGAATGGGAATTCCGTAGCCAACATACAACTAATTATACACACTGGCACCCAACTGTCTGGTGATTTTCGGCAGGGTCTTAAACTTAGCACCACATAAATATAGAGATCCACCTACCCATCGCTTTCTCTCCCCCCCCCCTTCTTTATTGAACGCCGAATGACCTGCCAAAAGCCACTTTTTTCTTTTCTTTTTTAAACAAGAAACGTAGACGAACCAGTACTTCAAGCACGAATACAGTGTGTGTGTGTGTGTGTGCGCGCGCGCGCGCGTGCACGCACACACGTGCAACAGTGTGAGGACGCGGATCCCCATGTGAATTCAGTGATGCCACCATGAGTACAGTACCTGCTGGTAGTTCTCTGTGTATGGAGGTTGCCCGGTAGTGGTGTAGGGAGTGTGTGCTCCCACGTACTGTCCAACAGCACCCTGCCCTACCCTGCTCTACCCAAGGGCCAAGGCCAAACACAAGGTCATTTCTCTACGGTCCAAGATTCCAAGCACCCATGCAAAGTACACACAGCACACACAGCACACACCGCAACCTCCAATCCTGCAAGTATGTTTCATCACCTGCCTCTCTCGCAGTAGCAGAGGCAGCAGCCATCCAGCAGCTGTAGAGACATTGTAACACGTCCCCATGCTTATTGCCATTGTTTGTTTTCGTAACTCCTTTTCAAAATTCTTTGTTGTCATCAATGTCAGGCATGATGTACTACTTCTGCCCGTCCACACAGCACAGCACACACACACAGCACACACCCACAGCACACACAGGCTGTACTCACCAGACGATGAGCATGGTCATAGGAGTTGACGTGGTTGTCGTACTCCGAGTAGGTCTTGTACTGCTTGTCACACGATTCACAGTAGTAGGTCTGGCGCAGGTCAGCTGTCGACTCGGCAATATGTTGCTCACGCTCTATGTTGTCCTGCACACAGATAGAGAAGCAAATGAAAGAAAATTAAGAAATAAACGACAGCGGTATCGTGCAAGTCATAACAAATGATCCAGTTTAACTCATATGTTGTGCTGTTATTCAGTTCCAGATGTTCTATCACATGTCTGAACAGGCAAAACATCTTGAGAGCCAGTGATCTTGACAGGTACTCTGTATATTCAGAACTGACAAGTTTGGCCAGAACGTCCCCGTTTTTACTCACTGCCAAGGAAAGGAAGACCGTATGGCCCAGCGTGACTGATATCATCATCATATTATGATGAAAGAACTTAGATGGTGAACAGGTCCCGATACCCATCATTGTTGCAACATTTCTCTTTTTCCGTATCCCGTAGTAGTCGCCATCCATCTTCTATGATTCTCCCTAAGTCTGGTACATACTTCACTCAATCCCCTCTATTTTGTCTCAGTGTTGCCTGGAATAAGCTGCCAGAAGAAGTCCGCTGTCTGACAGCCGCTAGCCGATTTACTGTTGCTGTGCGTAGACACTATCTGCACCACAAGTATTCTGTGCAAGGTATACCACATTTTGCAAGTAGCTTCTGCTGTTCCTGTTTGTATTATTTATTTTTATTTTTTCACCTTGTCATGTCCCTTCTTCCCTCCCTCATAACAGCCACCTTAACTTCCTTTCCCCAGGAGACTCCCTTTGATAGGCATCCATTTGCCTCTGGAAAATCCTTGAAAATATAATACAATATAATTATCAGGAGTGGGCTGTAAGGCCATGGTCCTACAGCAACCCAAAGTTGTGTGCCGTTCGTAGGTGAAATGATAACGGATCGACTGCACCATCACGTGGACTGCGTTTGCAAATTGCAGCAATGCACATACTGTACCATACGGCCAACAAGGTCGGGACTCTCTCATCCGCCCCACATCCAAGATACGACCATGAAGGGGGTCTACAAATATAGGCGGTGGAGCGCTCTCACTGTACTTTATGGTGAATGTCATGATGGCACAAACAATCTCTGGTTTTAAGCCAATTTGGAAAGACAGTCCACCCTGAACTATCTCAGTTCACAGCCACAATCATGGCATGTAGATTACTCATGTACTTATTCCACATCTCATAGCAGGGTTTTCAAATGGTCCTATAAACGAGCGTACATCAATCTCCATCGCCATCGTTCTGACGTCAGTTTCGTGATGTACTTGCCAGAAGAGTGTGTGGATGAGAGTATTTCTAAAAAATAAATAAAAACAGTGCAACGAAAGTAATGCGTACCATGTAGCGCTGGATAAGCTCAGGAGTGTCTTCTTTCTCGATCTCCAGCTGCCGTCGCTTCTCAGTGACATCATGCGCAACCGTCAGCTGCAAGCAACAGTAGAGAGAATCACACAGTTATCAAGCAGTTTGGGAATCAGATCGGAGTATTATGCCTCGGGCCCTTGGCCTCTTCACCGTTGTGATCCGTCTCCATCGTGAAATCACAAAATCCTCCACTTCTAAGGCTTGTTGGCTTGCAGTAAAAAAGAAAAAAAGTATTCTCCAACGGCAAAGAGATACCACACAAGAGAGGGTTACCCACTTTCCGCTACTCACTGCTTGATTGTAGGACAATAGCAGTGACTTACCTCGACTGTCATGCGACCAAGACCCATGCCATCCTGTTTGTTTGTAAGAGGAATGGGCTCGGTCCGTCCTGAAAAGAAATACGAGAAGAACACGGAGGCGGTCGTAAAAGGCAAGGGTACTGGTTCACTTTGTAATGAAACAAAATGCTATGCATCCACCAGCAAAATTAATATTGTCAAGATGAACCCATGCTGCTGTTTCCACCAGTGGAGAGAGAGAGAGAGAGAGAGAGAGAGAGAGAGAGAGAGAGAGAGAGAGAGATGAAATGTTATAACTGAGTTTCATGCTTTAAGTGATCATCAGGTAGCTGTGGAGTGATTGCATGCAGGGGACTAGAATATGCAGCTGCAAGGGGGGGGTCTATCATGGCTGGCCGCACACATTATGCTATTGGCTGGCAAGGCACACTAACCCTGGTTGCTTTTTCCAAGGCCGCAGCCACTTTTCCAGCCCATGAGGGTCAGCAGACGGTATCCCTTGTTATCCTGTCCAGCGAGTAGTGTACAAAAACCAGACCGGATGGCAAGTCAGACAAGATACAAACCAGAGAAAAACAGTTAAGGTACTGTGCGGTACTTCTCCAGGCTGTGAACACAGAGGAACAACAAACTCCACCTACTAGTACTTATACATACAGCGTGTATGAAGAAAGCAAAATGACAACAGGAGTGGCAACGAATCACTCTCAGGCTATGATCTGAACTGATTCAGGTCTGAACGGTCATGCCACTACGCACTAGATCACACACTGGCCCATGCCTAGACTACACTCAGATCCAGTAATTGCGCCAATGTACACTGACCCATGCCTAAACTAAACTCAGATCCAGTAATTGCGCGTCAGTGTACACTGACCCATGCCTAAACTAAACTTAGATCCAGTAATTGCGCGCCAGTGTACAGTCAGTGTGTTTGAGCGCTATTCACTGGGATACGAACGCTATGCTGTACTTACGCTGGCAATTGGCACATCCAGAGACGCGCCCTCGGCCGGTGCATCACGATCCTCGTACGAATCAAAATCATTTACCTGGATGAAGAAAAAGCAAGTCAGAAGAAACTTTCCCATGAAGATATCATCCGATAATGCTGGCACTGTTAATCTGTTACACTGTACAAACAACATTCCCCGAGCTGTGCCAAAGGCATACGGCGTCACACAGTGATGTGGTACATCTGGCAGAGCCAGAGATAAGTGGCCTTTCCTAATGTTGGATATTTTATTATTTTTGTTGTTTATTGAGTTCCTCGGGGACTGTCTGTAACATTGGAAAAAAATCCAGATAGTGGCCAAAAGCAAGAGTACATAAACCAGAGTGTGCAACTCCGCATCTATGCCGCAAAAAATGGACTGTAGTGCCCGGCGTGACATTGACTTCCCTTATCAGAATTCATTGAGCAACACTGTAGTCAACACGGTAGTCATGAACCAGTGCATTAGGAGTTTTGAAGAAGTTCCTATGAGCAAACAGCCACATCTCAAATTGAACTGCTATTCACTCAAAATTCTTCAGTAAGGCCAAACTAAAAAAGGTGTGTGGTTCGACTAACATGGACATTTTTTTACGGGCGGGCGGGCGGATTTTTTTTTTAAAATATTTTTTAGTTCATGTAAATACACTGTACTGCCTTTAGACACCCAGTACATCGGCATTATTACGCAGTGTTATGCCATACATGTTGTATAAAGGGATCACTGGTTAATACTTTGAAACATTGTGTGGCAGAAAACGAGGAAAGTGCAATCTCGTCTGTCCTTCATCCCAAAACAGAAGGCCGTCCTTAATCTGGAACGAGGCAATCACTCTCAACCGGACGGTCACTTCAAAATAAGTCTCGCCAGTCTGCCGGTGGTCGTATCGAGTAGACTCTACTACCAGCACAAGGCAGCAGTCGTACCACTCACTGCACTGCACTGCAGTACAACTACAAGTCAAGTCCAAAAGGAGCCACCTGCGTCCGCAGACTCACGCTGCACAGCACGTAGACGTGGACGTGTTCAGTCCACGTACGTCAGTCACACGACAACCCGCCGAAAAAAAAGTTACGGTCGGGCTGAAAAATGTACGGTCGGTCGGGTGAGTCGAACCACAGACTTTTTTCAGTGTGGCCTAATGAGTAAACTAATGGTACTCGACAGTCAGGATCATTTCAAAAAGAAATTTTGAGTGAATAGCACTTAGCAGTGATTTGTGAGATATGGCTGCCTACTTAGTTCATGATAGGTTCATAACTACATACTATTATAATTGTCTTGTAGGCCAATATTATGAAGCTTCAGGAAGCGTTTAGCTGCATCTTGTGATTGCCCACTGCATGCAATCAGTATGTGCCGAAAGGAATAACAACTTACAACTTGTCGAACCTCACCGAACCTGCCAAATCTCTGAGCCTGCTGTTCGGCGATACTCTGTTCCACAATACTAGTATTCATGGTTACATGTCCAGTCACTCGCTGTCAATAGTATACGTCAGTGCAGAGTAGCTATTAAAGAACTTGGGTTCGGGTTGGCAGATCACAATCTCATTCAATTCTTTCTGGCTAGGAGTTACTTCACACAACAAGCAACATGAAACAAGATCAAAATACATGTACGTACAAACAAAAAAATGTTACTTTACTGAGTTTACCGGTTTACATTTTTACGGCTTCAATGGACTTTGCAATTTGGCTTTGAGTATTTCGAATTTTTGCTAACATTTCCAATGATGTCATTCCACAAGAAAAACAGGTCGTTGTTGGTTGACGCAACGACTACGTCAGCGTCGCTTCAAAAATCTATCTTCCGATCTCCAGATCGATCTCTTCTCTGGTCTGTTCAGATTTGAGTTGCGTTGTCGAAGCCAGACGACTACACCTGCACTGATTGTGTGACTTGATATTCCTATGTTGGTCTTATCTAAATAAAGTAGAGGACCGTTGCTTCATAGGTTGTTGTGGCATATGCTGACCTGAGAAAATGAGTGAGGACAAGGCTGCGAAGCTGGTTGAGGAGGCGAAGAGAAAAGTAGCATCGGCGGAATCGTTTCTCGGTGGAATCTTCGGGTTAGTGCTGACATACTCATCGATACTTTCATAAAACGTAGCATTGTTGGGAAGAAGGGGGTAGTAGTTGAGCGGATGCGTTCCAATGTTGTAGTATTGTACATCCCCTTCTTCAATTCCCTCCGAACAGTCAGTTTCACCATCGATGCGATCAAAAATCGACGTATCACATGTTGAATATTAGCATGGTGATGTTCAATTTGAATTTGTGCAGCTCGTAATTATAATTATTTTGTTCTTTTGTTCGTGCCTTTATTCATGTGCCACGTAGAGGAACACAGAAGCTTGAAGATGCATCAGACATGTTTTCACGCGCTGGCAATGCCTACAAGATGGCCAAAGCTTGGGACAGTAAGTTTCCCCATGATTGGATTGGATTTATTTCTGAATGCCTGTGTGAAGCTGGTAGTCATGTTCAAGTGAAATGGTACAAGTACCGTATTTCCGGGGAAATTTTAGCTGCACTGGGGTCTAAGCACCCCCCCCCCCTTTCTGGCCCAAAATTCGTATCTTTTTTGACATTCGGAGTACAGTATACGCCGCACGTCAGTTTTTGAAATTTTGGTCATCCAAACTTGATGGGTACTAGTATCATACAATACGTTTATCAATGGTTAACACGTTGAGAAGCACGACTGATGTTCCACGAAAGTGTCTTCGTTTGTCCCTCACTCTGAACTGACAACATAGAAGCACCGTACAACTGCAAGAATGGATTTCTGTGCAGGAAACGTACTGTATAAGTACAAATTTTCGTTTGGAATTAACTTTCGCTATATTCGTTAGGGGACGTGAAATAACTAAAGTTTGTACCAAACTAGTTTTTTTTCTGAACGTTCGGGGTGACAGACCTCGACCAAAAACGAAATTTAGTACGTAACAAGCAGGCTGTTGGAGTGAAATAACGAAAGATTTCGTGAACGAAAATTTGTACTTATACAGTAGTCTAATGACACCATACATGCATATTACGTACGGCACGCTGTATCACTGGTTGATTCACGGCCAGCATTCGGAGTCTAAGCCGCAGGGGCGATTTTTTAGTTGTTTAGGCGTTTCAAAGTGGCTGCACGTGATGGAAGGATCGTACCTTTGCCGATTCATCTGTTGCCATGGGAATTTGAGCTGTGGCTGCCGGCACAGTCAACTCTCCTATACTGTGTGCTTTAGTTACTACTGCCCTGTCAATATAATTATCTATACTTGTGTTTATCAGAAAGTCCTGTGCCTCAGCCCTGTCTTTGGCTGCATTGCATTTGAAATGTCTATGGTGTGCTTGTTAACAGAGGCCGGAGCTGCATTTGTCGAAGTTGCCAACCTGCAAAACCGTCTTCAGAGCCGGCATGAATGTGCTAGCCAGCTAGTGGAAGCAGCAAACTGCTACAAGAAATGCAATGTGGAAGGTAGGTCTTCTCGGTCATAATTTGGTCCTGCATGTATTTTCTATCAAGTTGGTCTGCACTGTGTGCATATTGGGCTACCATCTTCACAGCACTAATGCCCACACTGCTATCATGTATAACAGACTTGATTAACAGTCGTCATTATTCTTGCTGAAACCGGTGTGAGGGTGGACTTCCTTGCAAATCAGGTATTTCTGTTGATGTCCACACGAAAGCCAGACCGATGTGCCTATAATAGGGATCTCAGCGCATATGCTCAACACCAACAATATGAGCTAGAATTTAGTAGAAGCTGAATACAACACTGGCATACAGAGCTGAATAGACCACTGGCATACAGAGCTGAATACAACACTGGCATACAGAGCTTGTGTATTCCCACAGAACTACTTCCTCCGCGTCATTAAAATTGTCGCTTCGCACATCGCAATATTTGAGACTTGGCTCGTCTTAGTCAGACTGTCGGAATCGCTGTTTTCTGTGTTCGAACACTGGTGCGACCCTTCCTGCGCAATGTCGACTTGTCACTGAAGCCGTGGTGGTCTCGAACTTTGTCGGAGCGCTCTTCCGCACCAAGCAAATTCATCGCGCTCCGCACTATTCCGCCCCAGAGCGCATTTCGTTTTCTGGAGTTTGTGCCCTCCCACATCGTTCGCGTGGGCATATATCAAGACTGCAAGCTCGGGTATAAGAATCCTGGTATCTTTCCTGAATACGAAATGCTGAAGTTGACGATGGCAAAAACAAAACGTAAAGCAACTTGGAAGAATGGGTATGAAAGCGGTCTCAAATTCCTAAAATGCGCTACTTGTGGCGCATGTGGCTGCGAAGGTAGCAGGTCTGAAAACACCAACAACATCAGCGAAGCGCTTGCCAAGGAAAGAAGGTGCGAAACTGCTCACCCTATCCCGCTGGAAGGTCGTTACAGTGTACTTGAAAAATGCTAGCTTGCCTTCATCGCCTGCCACCGGGAGGCTTGGATCGCTTGAAAACGAAGTTTCTTGACCTGAATTTGACCGCGCGTCTTGTTCAGCGTATTGTTGAGTGCTGAAGGGTCTGCCTCAAACTCTGATGAAGACGTCGACCTTAGCTGCAAGTGCAGAGAAGCGGGGGGGGGGGGGGGGGGGGGGCACAAACTAAAGCTTGGTCCGTCGACAATGCTCTGCCTCAATTTCTAGCTGATTTCTTTGCCCTTCGAGTGGACAAAATATATTCGAAAAATCGCTCTGGGAAGCGACAATTTTAATGACGCGGAGGAAGTAGTCGTTTTGAGGTCTGGATGGTATTCAAAACAGGCGTCTACTAGAATACAAGACAAAGTTTTGGAAGACAGTACGGTATTTGTTTTGTGTGCTGCTCTACTTTTATGTGCCAGTGTGTGTATGGCACTGCGTGTACATTTACATGTGTGTGTGTGTGTGTGTGTGTGTGTGTGTGTGTGTGTGTGTGTGTGTGTCCCATATGGTGCAGTGGTATGTGCAGCGATTTCCAATCGATAGATTGCGGGTTCGATTCCCGACGATTATGGTCACACACGTCTTTCTTCTCTTTCTCAGACTCTTCCTGACTTTTCTTTCATTCTCCTGGGTGGTTACCAACAGCCAGTGCATGCCGGAGTATGTGGTGTGATGTGTGTGCGGGAAAAAAAGGAAAATAAAGAAAAAAAATGAAAAAAAGACCAAAAAAAGGGATTCACTGACCAGAAAATGTCACTCCAAATAGCTGTATGGTGTAGACCAGGCTGAATAGTGACGGTCAATTCTTCAGCCTTGCAAGCTGTTGAATGGTGTAATCCCAGCACAAGTTGCTATGGCTTCTGCCGTAGCATTGCTATCATCGCCTCCGGCGATGGGCGTCAAAGGTCAAAGGTGTGTGTGTGTGTGTGTGTGTGTGTGTGTGTGTGTGTGTGTGTGTGTGTGTGTGTGTGTGTGTGTGTGTGTGTCCCATATGGTGCAGTGGTATGTGCAGCGATTTCCAATCGATAGATTGCGGGTTCGATTCCCGACGATTATGGTCACACACGTCTTTCTTCTCTTTCTCAGACTCTTCCTGACTTTTCTTTCATTCTCCTGGGTGGTTACCAACAGCCAGTGCATGCCGGAGTATGTGGTGTGATGTGTGTGCGGGAAAAAAGGAAAATAAAGAAAAAAAATGAAAAAAAGACCAAAAAAAGGGATTCACTGGCCAGAAAATGTCACTCCAAATAGCTGTATGGTGTAGACCAGGCTGAATAGTGACGGTCAATTCTTCAGCCTTGCAAGCTGTTGAATGGTGTAATCCCAGCACAAGTTGCTATGGCTTCTGCCGTAGCATTGCTATCATCGCCTCCGGCGATGGGCGTCAAAGGTCAAAGGTGTGTGTGTGTGTGTGTGTGTGTGTGTGTGTGTGTGTGTGTGTGTGTGTGTGTGTGTGTGTGTGTGTGTGTGTGTGTGTGTGTGTGTGTGTGTGTGTGTGTGTGTGTGTGTGTGTGTGTGTGTGTGTGTGTGTGTGTGTGTGTGTGTGTGCGTGCGTGCGTGCGTGCGTGCGTGCGTGCGTGCGTGCGTGCGTGCGTGCGTGCGTGCGTGCGTGCGTGCGTGCGTGCGTGCGTGCGTGCGTGCGTGCGTGCGTGCGTGCGTGCGTGCGTGCGTGCGTGCGTGCGTGCGTGCGTGCGTGCGTGCGCGCGCGCGCGCGCGCGCGCGCGCGCGCGTGCGTGCGTGTGTGTGTGACTCTTTGTACGTGTATATGTGTGTGGGTACGTGCTTGCTCGTATGTGTGTGTGTGTGTGTGTGTGTGTGTGCGTGTGCGCGTGTTTATTTATACGCGCGTGCGTGTGTGTATTCTTAGCATGGAGTTGCTAACCCCATTCCTTTGCTGTTTATTTTTTTATATATTGTGCAATGCAGAAGCTATCAGTTGCTTGACACGTGCAATTGAGATATTCACAGACATGGTAAGTTTGGCAAAGATCCTGTGGGTTTTTTTGTGCACTCATTGCACATGTATGATGCACAGAAACGATCTGTGTGTGTGTGTGTGTGTGTGTGTGTGTGTGTGTGTGTCTGCTCGGTTAAGTGAGGGGCGGGGCTTGACAAGTGCAGATTTAAGAGATTCAGTAACTCCATCTGCAGGCAGTACTGTTTCCATTAACTTGTGTTCTATGTAAACGATGAGGCCTGACCACTTGTTACAATTGGATAGTACTCTACTATCAACGGCTGTGTTGTTACTATTGTATCCTTGTGCAACAACCACTGCCGATCATAGGAACGCTGTATAGAAACTTACACGAAGGGAGAGAAACGTGAAACTCAGAGTTGCGACACAGCTTCCCCTCTCCCTTTTGTGTGGAAGGCTCTGCCCTATATGGGTATTGAGCACTCTTCGGACAGTGGAGCACGCTACTTGATTATGTATAGGAACTTGTTAACTTGAAAGTACCTCTGAGCTATGCCAACCATTGCATGTACTCCAGTCCTACTTTGTAGTTCTACCGGCATGTATGCCAGTCCTAGTTCTATCACCCTGATGATGTTGGTGACTGTGCTACATTGCACTTCGATGTGCATGTGCTAGTATATATATATATATATATATATATATATATATATATATATATATATATATATATATCTTGGGGCTCCCCGCGTGCTAGTTTGTACGTGAAGTGTGTGGGTTACAGTGAGGGCTGCGTCCCACCCGCCTGTGTGGATTCACAGGAAGTGTGAGTTACGAAGTCTGAAGAAAACGTTGAACGGCCTCTGCTTGGATGACGACTACACCATAGCTCAGTGGTTAGAGCATCGCTGGCTACAAGCGAGGGTCCCTGGTTCGAGTCCTGGTGGTGACGGTCAATTTTTTCTTCAGACTTTTCCCGTTTGTCTCTTTCCCTCAAAACCAGTTAATATATATATATATATATATATATATATAGAGAGAGAGAGAGAGAGGTAGGCGAACAAAATTTATATACACACAACAACAAGGTTGTAAGTTTCATAACACTAAAAGCTTTTCACCCATTTTCATCAGTAGGTACATGGGAATGAGCAAGAACGAAAACGAAGCCAGAATTTATACTGGGGGTATATATATATATATATATATATAATACGATTCTCGGAAAGGATCAAGCAGCATATCCCAGACAAGCTGTACAAGAAGCCGCCTGACAAACGTGTGGCAACAAGTGATAGCGCCATCACAAAGCATTTGCAGGCGCAACCTGAATGCATCCCGCAAGAACGCAACAGCAGCTTCAGTGTCATCACACCAGCCCGGAACAGCGCGCGCAGATTCACACTGGAGGCGCTGTACATTCGCAGTTTGAGGCCAGAGCTGTGTCGACAAAAGAAGCACATCAAGGTGCTGCGGCTGTTCAAGCTGCAACCGGACTGACAACTTTATCACGTGTTTGTTCTGGTACTGCATTCCCCTCATGTGTTGTTTCCCGCATTTTTCCACAGCTCCATACATTCTTATGGTAGTGTAGTGTGAACTTGAGGCGCGTAAGAATATTCTTGCTGATTCTCTACCCCCAGTATAAATTCTGGCTTCGTTTTCGTTCTTGCTCATTCCCATGTATCTACTGATGAAAATGGGTGAAAAGCTTTTAGTGTTATGAAACTGACAACCTTGTTGTTGTGTGTATACAAATTTTGTTCGCCTACGTCTCT